AGGGATATTTTATATATATTGTTTTTTACTAGATGCGTCTCAGTAAGATGTACATACCTTCCAAATTTCAGGTCATTCCTATTTGTAGAAAAAAAATAAAATAAAATATTACCAGCAATCGTGACCGCACGATGAAATTTGGATGGTGATGAGGGTAGGCGAAATCACTATTCATTTTCGCCTATAGGCGTTGGAAAAACTTTTCCTGTCATATATATATGACATGATATAATATATAATATAATGTATCTCTTTATATATTGTATCATATATAGCATATAATATAATATTTATTATAATATAATATAAAATATTTATATAGTATAATAATATACATATTAGATGTAACACAATAAATATATTATACATGACATATATAGTATAATATAAGATATTTACATATTATATAATATAATAATAAAAATATTATATGTAATATAATAAATATATAATACATAATATAATATATTTTTATAAAATAAAATATTATATTATATGATATTATATAATATAACGTTATAGTAATATGATATTATATAATATTATTATTATATTATATCATATCATATTAATAATACTAATATTATGTATTTATATTATGCATAGTAAATAATGATCAACAAAAACATTATGAAAGATTAAGTTTTTAGTTCCTAATACCCTTAAGAACTTAATATTTCATTTTTTAACAAAAAAAGTGAAAACTTTATTGGAAGATTATTTTATGAATTCTTAAATAAAAACTATGTCAAACGTGGAACTTTTCGAAAATTAGAAAGATTTTAGAATAGCAAACGTGCCCTTAGGGAACATCCCATTCTCCTCTCACCCAAATCATCTCTCTCTTTAAATTTTCATGGAAAAGTGCTTAAAAGGCCTCCTGCAAAAACCATAGCCCAAGAAAATGTCGCAGTTCAAATAAAACACCAGGACCAATACTGCTTACAATGGTTGACCACCCCATAAATTGAAAGTTATGCTGCCTTAAAGGGGTAAAGTTAAGCTGAATCATTTGTCATAGAAATTAACACCAGAATTATAAAGAGGCATTTATGATAATATTGAATATTAAAGCAAGAAAATAATGTGGGTGGGTTTGCCATTATTTATTTTTTTTATTTTTAGAAAATTGGAGTTTAACAAAATTACAGCAGATATAGTCTATATATTTTTTAATATAAGTTGTTTTAAAATTAAATAATCTTATTATAAACTTTCTCACAATAAAAAGTTAGGATTTCAAATAGAGATAAATATGTAATCATAGAAAGTGAGCAAACTATTAGAAATAATTACTTATTTAGTATTTTAGAGAAGCTATTATTGACCGCTCACTTAATTAAATATGTTGATAAAGTGTTTTTTTACATGCAAGATGTTTAGTAATGAAATTGTTTATTTTAAGAGAAGTTCTCAGTCATTTATACATTAGGGGTAAGTTACTCTGTCTTCACGGTTCATAGATAATAGATTGGGGAGGGAAGAGAAGAAGGGCGAGGAACAGAGAGATAACTGGTAGGTAAAGGGTGGCAATGGGCCGCGTCGCCTTGGGCAGCCCTAAAAGAATTAGGGCATGGGTAAAAAAATGTGGCCTGGGGCCTGGGCCTGGGCCTGGGCTAGGGCGTAGACAGGGCCAACACAGTTAAGCCCGCCCAGGGCCTTTTTTTTGTTTTCGTCTTTTTTGTTTTGTTTTTTACTTAATTTTACTTTTGCCCATGGCCAAGGCCTCTTTGGTGCAGTCCAGAGCGGGCTTAGCCTGGGCCTTAGGGGAAAAGATCTGAGCTAGGGCTAGCCCGGTCGATGGCCATGGGGAGAGAAGTGTTCTCGAGATTGGACTAGCTATCGAACTTTTGAGGGGTCTGACTATGTTAATTGGGTTAAAAAAATACTTTTTAGGTTGTGTTTTCATTTTTTTCTTTTTTGTAATTGTTCATTAAAATGAAAAGAGTGTATATTTCAAATTTTGAATCAAACAAATAGCTATAAGATGGTTTTTTAAGGTTGTTGCATCATATTACTATACAACGGTTGTATGAAATCATTGATTATATATATATATATATATATAGGAGGGG